ACTGGGTGATGGGCATTAAGGAGGGCACTTGAAATAATGAGCACTGGGTGTTATATGCAGCTGATGAATCAGTAAATTCCACCTGTAACTAATAATACAGTATGTGTAAACTAAATTGAATTTACATAAAAAATTAAAAATAAAAACCACAGTGATTTTAAACAACCACACTAATTTTCTGTTCCCAGTCCTTTTTCTCTCCAACTTCTCCACCTACTTCCTTTGTTCACTGCCAACTTTTGTAGCTCTGAGACCTAACAGGGTAGGTGCACAACGCCCTCCTCTCTCTGCCCTAGGTTCTCTCCTGCGTATCACTGTGTGATGTTAAAGACTCATTGAATATTTTCCCATTTTCTTTGGTATTTATTAAAAAATATATAAATGTATGAATAAAAGCTTTTAAAAATAGTTCTATTAAAGTAACTTCTCACTGCTGACATTTTGGACGACAGCTCTTTGCTGTGGGCATTGTCAGGTGCACGGGAGGATGTTTAGCGGTATCTTTGCCCTCAACCCTCTAGATGCCAGGAGCAGCTTTCTCTTCCCTCCGATGTGACAAACACGCATGTCTACAGACATCATCAGTGTCCCCAGGGGAAAATACCCTCTCTCTCCACCATTGAGAACCACTTTATTAGAGGGAATAATCATTCATTAGCATAGGACCTTAAGTGAGATAAAAGTACCAAGTGCTTCATCAATAAAAACTAAAAAAAAATTTTCCCCTTTAGTTAACACATTTTGGGGTGACATCCTAAAAGCAGAACTCATCCCTCCTCGCCAGTACGTGTTTTGAGCACCCACGTAAAGATGAAGAGCGCCGTCGGCCTGTGGAGAGGTGGTGCTGTGGAGGGAGACACGTGGGCAACAAGAAAATGTAGAGGGGTGCTCGGGGGTTAGCGGGTGATGAGCCCTGAGGGGACCAGACATTTGTGCTTACAGAGGAGGAGGAGAGTGGATGTTTGGGAGACTTCAGAGAGAGAAAGCTGTGTGTAGAGGCGGGGAAAATGCAAGAGAGCCTCACAGGTCTCGGGGTGTGGGAGAAGTCTGGTGCTCCTGGCGCGCGTGGAGAAGGATGGGAGTTGAAGATGAGGACGTATGCATGAGTTTGAGGGAGTTCAGGGTTTATTCTCAGTACCCACCTTTGATTTCACCGTAAACTCTCCAGGATCAGTTGTTTGTTTATCCATCCGTCTGTCCATCTTTCCATCTGTCCCTCTGTTGAATATGTGGTGAGGGCTCATAGGGCAGTGGTGGGTACAAGGAAGTAAACACGTGGAATCTCTGTTCTTGAAGATCATCGTGTGCTGACAGGAAGAGTAGGATAAAAGCTGACTAACACGAGCGTGACAGAAAACCCAAGGCAGCACAGCAGCGGAGGAACTGCAAGGTGCTGAGTCAGTGAGGTCCAGCGGGTGCTTCTAAGGCTGCAGTCTCACTGGGACTAGCGTGGGATAAAGAGGGTTTATTTTAAGGACGAGCGCTGATGCTTTTGGGGACACGGTTCCCTCCGTCTCTTGTGGCCTGTGTCATTCTCCTCTCGTTCTTCTGCCAACCTTTAAATCCGAACCGGTTGCAGTGGCTAAATAACCAATATCTCAGAGCCCTACAAGCCAGCCTCTTCACCAGTGGCTGGCAAGCTGTGGACGGGCTCCCTTTGGGTCAGGTGTCCACTGTTGGCCCATTCAGAGGCACCTCTGCACACTGGCCAGGTGGGGTGGCAGCCTCCGAGAGGTTAGTTTGTTCAGTGAGTGGTGAACAGAATATGTACCAGAAGACAGAGGGCGATAGAATAGTGGAGAAAGACTTTGGAAGATAAGAGATCATAGGTTGGAAGATTTACAGGATTTCTCATGCTGTGGTTTGTGGACTCGAACTGTCATGTTGCTTTGGCAGGAAAAAAAGACAAGGAAATGTAGGTACTTACAAAATTCAAATCGTTGACAAGATTTGGCCTTTGCCCACATCTAAAGCCTTGTTAAATGCCACCCTTATCCTTGAACCCTATGCTTTAGACATATTATGTCCTTTAAGTCTCTTAAACTCACAGTTCTGTCTGATCCAGAGCCTTCCCCATGCTGTTCCCTCTGCCTGGAACACTCTTTTTCTGCTGTAATTCTAGATGCTTGCTTTTGCCCTTTGGGCGTCATCTAAAATGGCCTGATCCCTCTAGACATCTCCAGAGCACTCTGTGCTTCTCTTGGTTTATTCATGTCATTTTTAACTGGTGGTACCTAATAGACTGTGGTCTTTTGGGGCTTGTTTGCATCTGTATCTCAGTGACTTAGCACATGTTTTGTGCTTGAATATTAGTCAGTATTTATTATATGAGTGTATTAAAGCTCTATGATAATCATTTGTATTGAACTAAATATAATTTCTCCTTTTCCACATTCTGTAAAGCATCTTCGTCTTTTAGAAGACAAGCATATTGATCAGGTACTTATTATTGGTGATTTTTTTTCCCTCAGTTTTATTGAGGTACATTTGACAAATAAAATGATAGGATATTTAAAGTGTACAATGTGATTATTTGATATACATACACGTTATGAAAAGATTCCTTCCAGGTGATATAATGTAAAGGCACACACTAAGGGAAAATAAGCACTTTTATTTAAAAAAAAAAAAAAAAAAGTCGTTTAAAGGCCGCCAGGGGTCAGTATAATCAAAGAAATGTTATGGGACGCAAACCCAGACTCAGTCTTTGTCTCTGGTTTTTATCTTTCCTTGACTCCTGCATAGCATTCAAAGACTGTTTATCGGTTATTATTAAACTCTTTTTTTTCCCCCAGCAGTGAGTAATGACTATGGTGGAAATGTATTTATTATTTAAATAGTCCACCACGGTAAACTATATTTTCGTTTTTCTAAGGCAGTGACCATTCTCAGTATAAATCTCAGGGAGGAGAAAATACTTATTTCAGAAGAATGTTTGAAATTCCGTTTGTTTCTAGAAAAAATATGGAATGATCCTAGTATTACACTTATCAGAGCTTTGATTTGTAGTGACTGTGCAGATTATCAGCGTGGCATTCTTAAATCACCCTTTTTGCTAGGTCATACTTTTAGGTACAGCATACTTGGTGGGTTCCTTGGCATTTCTAAAACTATAAAATATACGTTTATGTGAATGAGTCATTTACTATATGCTAACCTTTCTGGATTACTTACATTGCTTTTGACCTTCAAGTATTGGTTTTTACTTTCAGGATTTTTTTTATAATGAGTAATTATTTTGATTTAGTAAGATTTCTAAGTTTTTGTTCTTATTTTTATCTTTTTATTGTGTAGCATATAATGGTAGAGCATAGTAAGTTCCTTATATATTCATAGACCTGCTTTTTTTTTTTTTTTAAAGATTTTATTTATTTTTTTGACAGAGAGAGACGCAGCGAGAGAGGGAACACAAGCAGGGGGAGTGGGAGAGGAAGAAGCAGGCTTCCTGCCAAGCAGAGAGCCCGACGCGGGGCTTGATCCCAGGACCCTAGGATCATGACCTGAGCCGAAGGCAGATGCTTAACAACTGAGCCACCCAGGCGCCCCTTCATAGACCTGCTTTTTTTACAACGCTAATTTAATTAAATTGCAAAGCTACTCTTGATAATGGTAACTCTTAAGCTCTTTTAAAATTAGTAAAATTTAGTAAGAGCATTGATTTTTTAAAAAAGATTTTAGGTATTTATTTGAGAGAGAGCGCAAGCTGGGGGAGCATCAGCCAGAGGGAGACGCAGACTCCCCGCTGATCAGGGAGCCCAACGCGGGACTCGATCCCAGGACCCTGGGATCATGACCTGAGCCGAAGGCAGACACTTAACTGACTGAGCCACCCAGGCATCCAAAAGCACTGATTTTTTATGTGTGCTACTTATGCGTGTACTGAATTTGTATACCTGCCTGGAATGTGGATAGTTCTTTGCTGTGTTGGGGACTGTGCTTCTTCTCTTGAGAAGAATCACCATCCTTTCTACCTCTTCCAGCCTCCTGCCCCAACATCCTTTCTCCCTTAACTTCCAGGGGCACCGTGACCTCCCCTCAGAGGGAAGAAGTTTATTTTAGCTGTAATACCTCTTCATAGTAGTGTGTATTACAGAGTTGCTATATTTCAGGTACATTAGAGAACAAGTGGGGAAATGTGCTCCAATTTAATAATCATCTTACAAATATCCCTTGGGCAGATAACTTGTGAAAGTTAGACATTGCTTGTATTTTCGTTTTTTTTGTAATACTTCTCTAGGTGCCTTATCTCTCTAGGTATCTATCTCTTGACTGGTATCCTTGGCTTTCCCAAATAGTTGCATATTTTTTTTCATTTTTTAAAATTGTAGTAAAATATATGCAGAATTTACTATCTTAACTATTTTTGAGGGTACAGGCCAGGGGTATGAAATACATTCACATTGTTGTGCCTCTGTCATGGGGCTCCATCTCCTGAACTCTTTTCATCTGGTAGAACTGAAACTCTGTAACTAA